GGCGGGCGCCGGTCCCCGGTCCCCGGTCCCCTGGACTTCCCGGTGGCGCCCGGGGTGGGAGGGAGCCGGGCCGGGCGCTTCCCGGGGTCCCAGCCTGGAGCGTGCGGGGAGAGCCGCCCTCGGCCTCCCAGCCAGACCCAACTTAACTCTCTCCTCGCAAAGTAACGGCGCCTCTGCCCTCCGCTGGCCGGCTTGCATCCCCAGCGCAGCAGGGCTCGGCTCCGGCACCACAGTTTCGGGCAACTCTTGGTGACACCCCATCCACCTCTCCCCGGCTTCTAGCCTGTCCCGCGCCATTGCGCACAGAAAGCGGAGTAACCCCGCGAGGTGAGGGCAGTAGGCCATGCACGCATTGGTGAGGGGCTTGGGGTGGGGAGGGGTCCCCCAGAGGCCTGAGTGTCTGAGACACCAGGGGGCACATAGGAGCCAAGAGGCCCCCTCCTCCCTTACAAGGCCCTCTGCAGAGTGAGCTGACAGGGTCCCCGGGGGCAGGAAAGGAGGATGGTCCAGGACCCCACTGACAAGGACGGGAGGGCTGGTGGGTAAGTTCCAGGGTGGCCTGGCCTCTTTTCACAGGGATCATCTGGCCTGGACACAGCACCAGAAGTCTTAGGGGGATGTGGTTCTGTAGAGGTCGAGGAGGCCAGTTGCCCTCTAAGAGTCCCAAGGGGTGGAGAACTCTCCTGGGTTCAGCACCGCCAGCTAAGGGGTGCCGAGCTGAGGGTACAGCCCCTGAGAGCGAGGCTAGAGGAGAGGCTGGTCCCTCCCTCACCATTTTCCCTGCACAAGAGGGAATGAAGCAGCCACACAGAGTCACCTCTTCATCCCAGTTAGGCCCAGGGACAGTCCCCCTGTTCAAGGTCATGCCCTGATGGGGGCCCAGGTGACTATGGTGTGGTCCCCACTGTGAGCATGCTTAGCTAGGGCAGGCTGGGAGGGCAAGGTCAGTGGCGTGTGCTCCCGCATGTAGTTCTGCCGGAGAGTCACTGGTCCGAATTGGTCAGAGGCTGATGGAAAAGGCTGGATTTGTAGATCAAGCCCTCACGAATTCCTGGAAAACTGGGGACTCCATGACCAGCCAGCCCACTAACCGTCATGCTGTTTAAAGAGCTCCCTCCGAGAGAAACTGTGTTTCAAGTCCGTGTGTCGCTCCTGTCCGGTTTCACATCTCCCTCCCTGCCGGCCACCCCAGACTGCCTTTCCCTGCACTTGCCAATACCCTTTAGAGAGCAAAGCAGACTGACCACCTCTTGCACGGCCTCCTCCACACTCAGAGTCCGCGGGCACTTGGCTGTGGTAGAGAATGCAGCCTGGGCAGAAGCCGTGGGAGAGCACACCCCAAATACCGCGCGGGCCTCCTGGACTGCGCCCTTGGCACGGAGCGTGTGGAGAGGGCTGTCAGAAATAGAAGGGCTTCTCCGGGCAGGGCGCTCCTGCCGAGAGGCGGGCCAGGGCTCTGGGGCATTGAGTGGGTGCCGGCTTGTGCGCTCCGAGCTCCTCAAGCTCTTTAAACGGCTCAGTGATTGGGAGAGGTGCAAAGGCCCTCTCACCTGGATTTGGATGGGCCACAGGTCTACGCTGCCGGAGCTGGTGAGCAATAGGGAGGAGCCAGAGCTGATCTGACAGGTGGAGAGAGCTGAGCCTGCGTTGTTAGGGAGAAAAGCTGTGTGATGTGGATGCATTGGACAAGTGCAGGAAGAGACGGTCTGGCTTTCAACTCAGCATCCGAGTAAATGGCAGAGGGCGGTAACGCTGGCGCACGGCCTTGGTGCCAGTGGAGATGGGGGGTCAGATATTTCAGGGGTCAGTGCGAACCCACCCCCAGCTGGGCTGCTGGTCCCCGAAGTGCCCTCTCTGCTTCTGATGCTGAGTGTGCTGCTCCTTCTATGGGAGCACTTGTCCCTAGGGTTGTTCGGGTAGCAACTAACCTGAAATCTTTTTAAAGCAGTTCGTTTCCTCCCTCCCTCCCCCCACTGACTTGGGTTTATCTTAGACAGTCTTTGTCTTAGACCTTGAATGGGACTCCCTGCTGACTATGCTGCCCGATCTTGGTAAACTGTGGCCTCTGAAGCAAGACATCGCCTTCTTTCACCTTCTTCTCCTAGAGCAGTGGTTCTCAACCTTCTGGCCCTTTAAGTACAGTTCCTCATGTTGTGACCCAGCCATAAAATTATTTTCGTTGCTACTTCATAACTGTAATGTTGCTCCTGTTATGAATCGTCATGTACATATCTGATATGCAGGATGGTCTTAGGCGACCCCTGTGAAAGGGTCTTTCGACCGCCAAAGGGGTCGCGACCCACAGGTTGAGAACCGCTGTCCTAGAGGCTGGACTTACCACCAGGCTAATGAAAATCCCACCAAAGGCTTCTCACTCACACAGGCCCTTGCCAGGGCCCTGGGCCTCCTTTTTTGCTCATAATTCTGGGTGAACTTTCTTCATTCAGAATTCATGATGTCACCCTCAATGTATAAGATTCAGGCCCTGCAGACATGAGGCCAACCCAAGACCTCTGCCTTAACTTTCAGCTCTGGGGTTGGTTGCTTGACTTAGTGACTGATTGTCGGTCTCTCCTACCAGGTAGACCGACAAGCAGGATCTTTTAGTCCTGCTTGAGGGACCTGTAAGTTGTTTCCAGTTATTCACGATGATAAACAACAGCAGGGGTAAACATCCTTGTAACTAAAGCTTTTCGGCTTAATTATTTCCTTTGGATACGTTCCTGGGCTTAGACTTGCTGGGTGAGAGAGGAAGGGCGATTTTGAGTCATTTTCTATGCATTTCCCAAGTGCCAGGGAAGCGAAAGTGTGTACTGGAGAGAAATGCATTCACTTACTTGGTACTGGAGTTTTGGAGTTTTGACCAAAGGGTTGCTCCGGGGCAATACACAGGCATAGTCAGCCACCCATAGGAGGGGACTTAAAACGATCACAGAGCAGTGTGAGGAGACGAGATCAATCCCCGGACCAAGCAAGGTCCGCGCGCTGCTGCATCCCCGCGTCCCGCCACCATCCCCATCACACCCAAGAGAAAGGCTGAAGGGGATGCTAAAGGAGATAAAGCCAAGGTGAAGGACAAACCACAGAGACGATCCGCCCGGTTATCAGCTATACCTGCTCCTCCAAAGCCAGAGCCCAAGCCTAAAAAGGCCCCTGCAAAGAAGGGAGAGAAGGTACCGAAAGGGGAAAAGGGGAAAGCTGATGCTGGCAAGGATGGGAATAATCCTGCAGAAAATGGAGACGCCAAAACAGACCAGGCACAGAAAGCTGAAGGTGCTGGAGATGCCAAGTGAAGTGTGTGCATTTTTGATAACTGTGTATTTCTGGTGACTGTACAGTTTGAAATACTATTTTTTATCAAGTTTTATAAAAAATAACAACAAAAAACGATCACAAATAGTCACAGTGGGTGTGAGGGAAGTGATGGGCATGAAAGGGAAAAGTGATCCAGTGAAACTGAAAGGCAAAGAAGGCAACAGGTTGATTAAGCCTTGTATTTAGGGTTTCTCGTTAGCTGCTTTTAAAAAAAATATATATTTTTATTGATTTCAGAGAGGAAGGGAGAGGGAGAGATAGAAACATCAATGATGAGAGAGAATCATTGATCGGCTGCCTTCTGCATGCCCCCTACTGGGGACCAAGCCACAACCTGGCTATGTGCCCTTGACTGGAATCAAACCTGGGACCCTTCAATCCGCAGGCCATCGCTCTATCCGCTGAGCCAAACCAGCTAGGGTGCTCCTTAGCTTCTTAATTCAATATTGGTTGTATGTAGGTGAGGGAGCAGGATTGGCTGTATGTAGGGTGAGGGAGCAGGATTGGGTGTATGTAGGGTGAGGGAGCAGGATTGGCTGTATGTAGGGTGAGGGAGCAGGATTGGGTGTATGTAGGGTAAGGAAAGAGAAGAATATGCTGGAGCTGGAGGGGCAGGGATAGGACTCGGGCACAGGGCAGCGTGGGCTCTGCAGGGGCAGAGCTGAGGGCTCGTGGGGGTAAGAGACCCTCCTAGGTGCACATCACAGAGCACGTGTGTGTGTGCTGTCAGAACTAGCCCTGCTTCCTCAACCCCACAATGAGCATTCCTATCAGTTCTTTTCAAATTGTCACTGACCAGAAGGTCCTAAATCTCTGTAGGAGAGGGCGTGTGACCTTGCTTTTCCCAGCCCTGGGGACTGAGGCCAGCTTCTGCAGTCAGAGTCACAGTGCATTGGAGCAGAGCCCAGACCCCTCCTCTCTCCACATGCCTGGCTTGAGTGGTCCCTCTGTCGCCATGCTCTAGGCAGCGGGAGCTGTCCCAATGGCCAGGGGACCAGAATATCCTGGGCTGTGTTACAGGTGTCACTTGTATCCGTTTGGATGCAAACCTGCAAGTGACTCAGTTTCCTCCTTTGCAGAGTCACCCACGGGTGTCTCCCTGTGCAGGGACAGCTGCCTCTGGTATATCTCCCACCCCCCAGTCTTCTTGCACCCCTTGAACACCAGCAGTAGGTGCCAGGGGACACAGACAAAGCTGACTTCTGTCCCTTTCCCGTAGACATGGGTGGGTTCCTCAGCTGCAGGACAGACAACTGTAACACCCTGTGATATAAATAAAAGCAGCCCGGCTGGCGTCCAGCCCCCAGAGTGGGTTTCTCCCACACCCCTCCCCTCCTCTCCGCCCCAGACGCCCTGGAGTTGGTTGGGTGCACTGGCTTCCTTTCTGGCCACGTGCTTCCTGCCCCATCTCCCGGGACACAGCTAGACGGCTGTGCCCGGGCACAGAGCGAGGGCTTGGAAGTGGAAGACGTGCCGGCTTTTTGCTTTGTTAAGGTTGTCAGAGCGTCATTCAGAGAGGGAGAGGAGGCAGTCCAGAGCCAAGGAGCACATAACATCCTCACTTTGCCTTAGGGCTGAGCTTTCAGAGAACAAGCTGGACATGTCTGCCAATACAGCTGCCAGTTGCCAGATATATTGTGATTTTAAAGTAAAATCAATTCCAACCAAAGAAAATGAAGAACCCAGTTCCTCAGTCGTACTAGCCACATGGCAAGGGCTCAGTGCCCACATGCGGCTGGCGGCCTCCATTTGGGGTCGAACACAGAGGAGCATGTATTCATCACCGCGGAAAGTTCGGCTGGGTGGTGCTGGTTTAGAGCAGTGGCTTAAGTCTTAAAGGGCTAGACAAAGATCCAAGGTGATAATGAGTAAAAGAAAAACCAATCCCTCGGTGTATTTGAGTATTAAGACGGAAACAAGAGGGGCTTAAATCTAAGTGAAAATGAAGAGTGGGCAGCCAACGCGGCGGAATTCTTTTTCCAGCCACCAGACATCGGAGTGCGGGCCCCGTGCTAAGGGGCAGGGATTCAGGAATGAAAAATCCGCTCCCAGTCTGACGGGTGAGAAGGTGGTGGGTTCTAGTCTTGCGTCTCAGGCAAAACATAAGCTGTGGGCTCCGATGGGGAGAGGCTTGTCCTCGGGCAGGCACAGGTGGTTCAGGGGGCAGACGAGAGACTCCTGGGAAGGCAACACCTTGAGGGATCAGGGGCCTTCCTGCCCCATTTTAGTGAGGAGACTCATTTATTTATGCCTCTGCATCGCCTCTTGGCTGAGTCCTCGGTGCCCTGCTGACTCTCGGGTGCGGGCGTGGCCCCACCTCCCCATCTGGGTTTGCTGGAAGCAACACTTTCAGGTCTGGTTCCTGGTTCTTACTGGCCCCGAAGAGCCTGCTGTCTCAAGCTCTCAGGAAGGGGTGATGCGTTTATGAGGAGGCCTAAGGTCAAAGAGGATCCAGAGAGCGTCCCTTGGGGGTTTCCCGGGAGTTTCCCTGAAGATCCCCACACTGGTGAGGGTGCTGTTTTCCGAGCTGGTGCTGAACTGGCCGGGGCAGAGGCAGCTGGGTTGTCCAGGCAAGACCCATCCAAGGCAAGAGGACAGACTTTTCTCAGCCAGTCACTCCCAGCCCTGAGTGCCAGGGTGCGAAGGGCCGGGCTCCAGCCAGCTGGTTCCCTGGGGACCCGCTGCTGGTCCAGAAACAGCCGCCTCCTGATAACTCCTGTTGTGATTTGTCCCGGGAAAATTTTTCACGTTTATTCAAAGCAGCCGTTGGTGTTCTCAGAAATCACTTGCTTTCAAGGGAGTTGCATGGCGACTTTAAGAAGTCAAAATGCACGATTCCATCAGATAGTATTTTCTGAGCATGGACAAGGAGTTAAGTGCTGCCACAGGCATAATGGTCTTTTTAAAAAATATATATATTTTATTGATTTTTTACAGAGAGGAAGGGGGAGAGAGATAGAGAGCTAGAAACATTGATGAGAGAGAAACGTTGATCAGCTGCCTCCTGCACACCCCCCACTGGGGATGTTCCCGCAACCAAGGTACATGCCCTTGACCGGAATCGAACCCGGGACCCCTCAGTCCGCAGGCCGACACTTTATCCACTGAGCCAAACGGGTCAGGGCAGGCATGATGGTCTTTAATGGCATCTTGTAGTACAGGTTGGCAATGAGATTCCTTTGTGGGAAGGAAAGGTGATGGGGAATATAGAGGAGCACTAGCCACAGCTCTGAGCTGCAGAGTCAGATACTTGGGTTGGACCCAGGAGCAGTGGTAGGCGGTGGAGGTACCACTGTCTAGTTCTCTTCAGGGGTGGCATGCCCTAGCCCGATGGTGTGTCTGTTTTCTACTACCGCAGTATTGCTGCAGAACAAGCCACCTTACCACCTAGGGGGCTTAAACCAGTCACCATTTATGAGCTCATGATTCTGTGATTGGCAGTTTAGACTGGGTTCAGCTGGGTGGTTCTTAATGTTCTCCGCTGGGCTCACTATGCATCTGCTGTCAGCTTCTGGGCGGGCTGGTTGGCCGGCAGGTCTAGGATGGCTTCCGCTGGGATGGCTGAGTGTGCCATCCACCAGCAGCCTGGGCTTGTTGTACACGTGGTGGCTGGGCAGGGTGCCAGGAGGGCACTCAGCGTGTGCCTGGTCTCTTGGAGCCTGGGCTGTTCCTCCTGTCACGTTCTATTGGCCAGTGCAAGTTCAGGGCCAGCCCACGTTCCCAAGGAGGGGAAACAGACTCCAGCTCTTCTTCTTTTTTTTAAATTTTTATATTAATATCAACTAAAGCTGAGGGGGAAAGAGAAACATTAATGATGAGAGAGAATCATCCATCGGCTGCCTCCTGCACGCCCCCCACGGAGAATCGAGCCCGCAACCCAGGCATGTGCCCTCCACTGGAATTGAACCTGGGACGCTTCAGTCCACAGGCCGACACTCTATCCACCGAGCCAAACCGGCCAGGGCAGACTTCACCTCTGATGGAAGGAGCCGCAGAGTCACATTGAAAAGGGCCTGGGTACAGGAAGGGTGGAGGATCCTGGCTACTTTCACAATCGGCTGCCAGTGGTGAAAGTGCCCTCGCCATTCCTGGATTTCTGTGATCTCAGCTGACGGTCTGAATACATTTCTGCCCGCACACGAGAAAAGGGACGGAGGCTCTGTGAGCTCCTGGGGCTGCCAGGAGGTGGAGCTGGGATGAGTTGGGTGCCAAGGTTTTTGACCAGCTGTCCAGCATTCTAACGCTTCTTTGTACCCTTTGTACCAAGCGCAGTCCTGGGTGCTTCATAAACACTATCTTGCTTACACCTTATAACAGTGATGGCGAACCTATGACACGCGTGTCAGAGGTGACACGCGAACTCATTTTTTTGGTTGATTTTTCTTTGTTAAATGGCATTTAAATATATAAAATAAATATCAAAAATATACATCTTTGTTTTACTGTGGTTGCAAATATCAAAAAATTTCTATATGTGACACGGCACCAGAGTTAAGATAGGGTTTTTCAAAATGCTGACACGCCGAGCTCAAAAGGTTCGCCATCACTGCCTTATAAGAACCCTTCTGAGGCACATTTCCCTTGTTTTACGGAGGAAGAAGACGGAGGCTCAGGGTGGTTAAGACACTTGTCTGAGGTCACACAGCGTATCAGTGGCAGCGGCAGCATTGGAATCCCGTGTTACCCCTTGTGCTGCTTACACTTCACCACCCTGAGTCACTTGCCCTTGGAGCTTAGCATTCAGGTGGTGCTACTAGTTTAAAACACCTAAAAGCAGTTGGTATGTCCTGCTTAAACCCGGAGCCTCCGGGTCCTCGGATGTAAAAAGAGGCGCCTGTGAGGTTTCCAGGTTCCTCACCTCCGGTTGGCAACCGCTGGCCCAGGGGAGTGTCTCCCTCAGGGCGCGAATCGTTCGGTTCGGTCCGAGGTGGTGCTCCCTCTGCTCAGGTCTGTTTTCCGTTGATTAAGGGGTGCGGAGGGATTCCTGGGGTTTCCGTGCGGTGCGGTGAGCACAGCGATCGAATTCTAACTGCCACGTGG